AATGCTGTGGTAATTGTTTTTTATGTATATGAAAAATTGAAGATAATGCAAGAGCCTACAATACAATAATACATCCATAATACAAAGCCTCTGTTTTACAAAACAATTTAATGTCTTTCCTATCAATTGATACTAGTGAACAAAATTTGATTCAATAATCAATTAGATAAAATAATAGAAAGGTTTTGTAGCACTTCTTGCAAATCCTTAATGCGTAAATGTAATTTTGTGTATTTATTTATTATTTCATTTGATTTCATGCTTTCTTTACTTGTCCAAATAAGATCACAATATTTTTTTAAGGTCAAGCTTGAAAATAAGTAATGAAATTTAACAAAGTTTTACCACAGTAAAAAAACCATACTTTTTTGTAGGAATACCATTTTGAATTGAATATTCAAAATTGAAAGTTTGCTGTAATTATTTTCTGAAAATTTCCTGACAGTGTTTTTTTCCTAAAGAGAGGCAAATTAAACAAAATGTTTATTTTATTTTGTGTGCTTTATCTTTAGAATAAAGTGCACCATTGCATATTAAAATGTAGCCATAAATAATATATATAAAATTATGTTTGGACTACATAAATTAGGAAAAGTAAATAAAAATCAAATTAACCTACATTTATATATTAAAGAAACAATATATTCCTAGTATACTATTGGCAACAAAGGCCAGCTGAAAAAAAAATTGTCCCAAAAAAGGAGGTGCAATTTATGTAATTTAATTGTTTTCTTTTAAAGGCTATTAATTTCTTTCAAAATGTTTAAATACTAGCAAACAACCACTCATTGTCATTCAGTTTTTCTATGTAGAGGGGCACCTTCGCCAGCTTGCTTTCCCTAGCTATACCCATTGCAAGAATCATAAAAGGAAGACGAATCATTATATAATATTATATGAATAATTGTTTGTGTTGTAAGGAAGGTTTTATTCAGTTGATACAGTACCTTTGGTGCTCCTTGACAATGTCGTCTTCCCCCAAAAATTAAATTTATTAATTTAAATTAAGCTGTTTTGTATTAAGTAATATTTGCATTTTATTTCATTTAATACATCTCTAATTCAGTTTTTTTATTAATAGATTAAAATTAATTATTCTTATACACACTTATATTTCATTCCTAACAAGTGGTGGGCAGCTTCCTTCAGGTCAGCGCAATTGCTCAGCACTGAGTTGATCAACATATAAAATAGATTTTGAGAAAGGTATCTCCCAGGTTGTAACAAGAATATATGTTGTTTATTAATGGTGATGTCACTGACATATTCTCTTTAAAAAATATATGTGTAATAATATAAATTACTTCTTGAATAAAACCATAGGTGCAATGTATTTTACTGTTCTATGGAACTTTTATTATTTTTCTACATGAGTTTAAGTGTTATCATATTGGTGTTAAAACATTAAATAGATCTAAGATAGGGTACATTACATATACCACTAGTGTTGGTATGATTTCCATAAGTGAATATCCATATGAACAAGTTAGAGTGAAGCAGAGCTACACAAAACAGTTTAATAGAAATCTGGGTTGGGTCTCTTTCAAATACTTCTCACAATATAATTTAATGATTTAATCTTTATCTAACTTCCATTGAATCCCAGTTAACAATGGAATTCTTCTTTGGTATTTCATTTTAAATTAAAATATTAAATAGCTCATGGTGGTGTAAATAATTGCAAGCTCTTTTGAAATATTTATAAAGCTGATGAATCACATATTAATATTTGAAGTTTTTCTCTACAAATTTTTTAGGTAAATCATTTGATTAATTAGCTCAACTGTTTTATCTAAAACAATATTTTGAGCCTCCCATAATATTCTTCCGATAATATACTAATATTCCTGAATATTCTGTGATCCACCTGACTGGATTAATATTGATATTGGATAAACATTTTAGAATAGAATAGAAAATCATTTTTATTCTGGGACAAAGTCCCTTATGAACAACAACACTGTTCATACAAATTAATAATAAATCTGGCCAAAAGACTGTCTATAGCATAAAAGATTTATTTTATATAATTTTGAAAGTGATATTTCCCATTAATTGTTACAGTCTGGACTTCGAAATCAATATTGATTGTTCCTATTGTTCAAAAATTGTTTCTTTTTTCTAGATCATTTTCATTAATATATATGTATATATATATATATATATATATATATATATATATATATATATATATATATATATATATATATATATTTTTTTTTTTTTTTTTTTTTTTTTTTTTTTTCCATATGGCATTAAGATTTTAAACCCGGGTTTGAAATCGATAATTATTTTTTTCTCAAAATCATGTAATAATTATATGTGATTTTTAATTGTAAAATCATGCCTGATTTTTAAATAAAAAATTAAATCAATATTTGATGTTTATTGATTTGATTTAAAATAATGAACTCTCACTGAGTGATACGGATTTACATAAATAATGATTAAATAGTGATAAAAAAAAAATGTTGACAAGAAAATGAAAATCACTTTTTACACACAAATTAAATTAAATATTAATATGTATGTAAACCTTATCTATGTACACATTTTTTAATATTAAATTTCTGGAATTACTTTAATTGTTTATGCGGTACCTGCACTATACATATGCATACATAAGAAGCAGAGCAAATCGGACTAAAATTCAATCTAGATAAAACAAAATATATGATAGCTGAAACATCCACCCTAATAACATGATCTGCAGGGACTTTAAGTCATTCCCGAAAGTAGACAGAATCAAATACCTTGGCTCCACAGTAACCTCAATAAATGATCAACTAACAGGGACAGACCAGCAAATAACAAGTGAGAACAGATCTTTCTTCTCCTTTTCAAGGATACTGAAATCCAGAAAAATCTCCAGAAATCTAAAAATAAGGGTGTACAACGCCGTGATTAAGCCAGTTCTGCTGTATGGTTGTGAAACCTGGGCTCTAACCGGGACACTAGAATCCAGAATTGAGAGATTCAAAAGAAAAATTCTCCATAAGATAACAGGATCTATATGGGACCAGAACCTTGACATATGGAGGAGAAGGAACAATAAAGAACTGCTGAAAGAAACAGGTCAGTCAATACCTCATGACATGAAGGCAAGAAGGTTAAGATAGGCAGGGTATGTAGCTTGTAGCAACCCATCAGGACGCCTTTACACAACAATGAATGGCAGAGTAGTAGGCAAAAGACCACGTGGGAGGCCAAAAAACAGATGGATAGATAGGATAAACAAAGATAGGGCTGAGCTTCATGCCGCAAACTGGAAAACAGTAGCCCAAGATAGGCAGAGGTGGAGAAGGCTGGTTCAGGCGGCCAAAAAGATCTACAAGGTCTGTAGAGCCAACCAAATAAATAAAAATAAATATATATGTATATTTTCTCCTTCTTTTTTTTATCGCTATACATGCCAGTAATGGACCACGCTCATATTACTTCTAGATCTTTTTCTGCCCGAATTCTTTTCATTTTTTCTCCCATCTCCCTCTTTTTCTCCTCTGTTCATTCTTACTCTCCTGTTTCTTCTTATCCACTACAAGAACTTTTATATTTTTCACTATTTTCCCGAATGTATCTCTATCTTGGTAGTCCTCCTCTTTGATACCTATTTTTTTCACTTCTTCTTTTATTTGTTCTGGATAACCTTTTATGTTCTATAATGCCATTACTCTATCGAATATTTGTTTGTTCAGCCTATTCTTATTCATTCTCTTCATATGACTGAAGAACATCAATCTCCCTTTTCTCATCAATGATTCCAAGTCTTCATATGTTCATAAAGCTCATTGTTCTTTTTTAACCGGTATTCTTCCTCCACCTTCTTGGCCCTTATATTATTCTCAGAATCTTTCTTTCTGTTTTCAGTAATGATTCCATATTGTTAAATGCCATAGTCTCATAGAGTATATATATATATATTGCAAACTAGAATTTCTAATGAATTCCAGAAAAAAAGATGTTCTGTTTCTAATAGTTGACAACAATGTTCTCTACCTACTGCTCCAGACTTAGAAAATAGCATAAGGATTACAAAAGAATTATATATCTGATTTAAAAAAGTGTTACTCAAGAACTATTATTATTATTGAAGAGAAGAATAGTTGGGATGATCAGTCAAATAAGAAGGCAAAAATAAATGATAATATTTATTTTGACATTTGCCAACGTTTCGACCTGAAGTTCAGTTCTGAAGGTAAAAAAAATTAAAGTAAAATGAAGTTGTTAGAATTATGACAATAGTAAGAACTAAGAGATAAATAATAATAACCGTTACAAAGTGTGGAATGATGAAATAAACATGATCAAAAAAGGTGACATAAGTATTAAATTGGGAATCTTAGAATAATATGTAAAACAGAAAAAAGGAATATGAAGTTATATAAGATATGAAAATAAATAGTAAAAGATTATTATTATTGTTAATAGTACAACCATAGTGCTGCTTGCCAGTGCCGGCCCCAGGGCCGGGCAACCAGGACAATTGACCTTGGGAGCCCACCACTAGTTAGAAATAATAAAAACGTTATAAAGCGTAGGTGAATAATTATTTTTAACCTATTAATAGAGCAACTGAATTAGGGACATGTTGAATGAAACAAAATTCAAATATTACTTAATATAAAACAAATTAAGAAATGAATTAAATGTTTTGGGGGGAAATACGCACAGTTACAACGAAGTTAAGATGAAATCTGAAAAGAAAAAAAAAACAATATTTTCAACTTGTGGAACATGCCATTTTCATTTCCAATGTATAAGAACTCCGATGAAAATTACTAATCAGTGTTCTTACCATAAATACTTCGTTAAAAGGTTTTATTATTAATTCAGTAAAATTTAAAGAAAGAACTTCGCAACTTGACACTAGTCCTCGAGTCATCTGATTAGGTATAATCAAAGACATGGTGCTTAGATACAAAAAACCAATTGCCAAATACGTAAAATAAGGGCCTTTTGAAATAATTTAATGGTGTTTTAATTTACCTAAATGATTTCAGGAAAGAGATTTTGACAAACACGTTTCATACTGTCATGAAGAACCATCGGCTCAGGAATTTCTACAGGAGAATGCTGATGTCAGAGACTACTTTGAGGTAAATATTTTTCTCAAAAAATATTGTTATATATTAATTATAATTATTTCAATTTTTTAATTTAGCTGCCGTCCAATGATTATGTAGTAACAAAGTGGCCAACTAATGTAGAAAATTCGAAGTATGAATCAACCTTTAATTTATGATAGAAAATTAGTTCTTTAAATTGTCTAGGTCTGATTTATTCAACTATGATCGCAATTGACACCATACATAAGTGTATTAATTTTTTATCACTTCATTTTATCAATTAAAGAACTGGTTACATTAGGATAATTACATACAAAATAAATGATCGCTTGCAACAATACATTTTCAAAGAGTGAGACAAATAAACGACCAATAGAAAATGTATGTCATGAAAAAGGTCAACTCAACGATAACCTAAATTTTGGGGGATGAAAAATCACCCCGAGTTATGAATAGTTCGAGTTAAAAATAAGTTGAGTAATAGAGGTTAAGGGGATGCGGCAGCCTTGCCAAGACGGGTGATTGTCGAAAGTTATATAATGGAAGGCATACCTATGGAATATCTTTCAAGTGAAATATAATATTTAAAATGTGTACAGGTCTGGCTCATTATTGATTGCTATCATGTTTGTCTTCTCCCTTTGCCTTATATTAATATCGGATATCTGTGTCAGCTGTCAAAAGGTAGCTTACAAATGGAGGCTACGGACATGAGGTCGCTGATTTCAATGACATTTTTTTTGTTCCGGAGGTCTTAACAATATGCCATACATATTGAAAAACGCTGCAAATTATTTCACAATGGTTTATTATTTCTAAACAATTATACATCTAAAGTAACATTACCTTCCGAGTAACAAAGAAAAAAAAAACAAAAGGTGATTCAAATTATTGGACTAAACTGTTTTTCTTTAATCATTAGTAATATGCTAAAAAAAATAGCATTAGTTCAGTAACACATTCAAAATTTAAAAACCAAACCAAGGATATAACATTTTGAGTAGAACATATTAAAAAAACCGGAGACCATATCTTTGCTCCTAATTGTCCGGTTTTAACGATTTTTTTTTTGTTTTTTAGGAAATTTTGTAAACTTTTAAAAAACTATCCAATATCCACAAAAAACTATACAATATCCACAAAAAAGTAAAAACTTTCCAAGTTATTCGGAATTTAATTTTACCATCCCTCGTAACTTATTTTCCAGCTTCTTTTCGTTGAAGTATGTTATATAGATAAATTTAAAGGGCGTCGAGAAAATGACTTTAGCGAAGTTTCATTGAAATCTGTAGATTCGTTTAGGAGCTACAGTCCATAGTAACGCAGGTTTTTCGGCCGCCATTTTGAAAGTAAAAGGCGGAGAGTAATGAAGGAGGATCATCCTCGGGGGACCTCTGATTTTATATCAAAATTTGAAAGAAAATCGGTCCAATAGTTTCGGAGAAAATGCGCGGACCGCGGACGGCGGACGGACAAAAAAATTTTTAATCGTTTTTCGAATTCTAAGCGTCCTGAAACGTGAAACCTCAAATTTTGAGAGGGGGTTAAGTTTTTGAATTTTTTGGTCGATCACAATGGTTGATTATTGAAAATAATAAACCAAAATACGTGTATACGTGACATGAAAAAAAAATTAACATTTTTTTATATTACTGTTTCCTGTCTTTGCTCTATATGGTTTTATAGATCATAATATATAATTAGTTTATTTTTTTTTTGTATACAATAAGAAAATCTATTTCATACTGTATTAAACGAATTCAAATGTATAATAAATTACAAAAACTAAAAGATGCTTCCTGCAAAATAGGCCAAGCCATGAAAAAAAAACATTCAGATTCGTTTCTTGCGTCTTTTGAAACTTTCAAATACGCATTTCAATTGAAATAAAAAAATATATAAGATTTCGGACTTGACTTTAATCTATAATTTATTATCGTGTGCACTAATGTGTTCATAACTCCGTAGGATTTTATTCGAATTCAAAGTTATTGATATCGTTGGAAATCTGAATTATTTTCAGCTGGTTAAATAGATGAAAGCACTGTGTTTAAGATGTATAATAGCTACAATACAACTATGAATACAGCATGGATCTCATAAGAATTGTAAGGGAAATGTTGAACAATAAATTTGTATTTTTCGATCGCAATGAAAATTTTTGTTCAAGCGTTTTTCGATGTTCTAAAAACGATTATCAACTGTGTATAGCCCTAAAAAAATATTTTATGGGATCCGGATGTGTTTTTCGTGTATAATATCTAAAATAAATGTATTATTCTTGTTTTCGGACTGAATTGGAACAACATACCAGGCTTTGTGCATCTAATCTTACTAAAGACACCCGTCCGGTTAAGAAAATAAAATTATATATTATTTTAAAATTATTATTACTGTAGTAAGAGTACAATAATGCAGAGGTGCCCATCCTCCCCAAGGTCGATGGCGCATGAAACAATTTGTTCCATTTATTCTCTTAGTCTCCTTATTTGAAACTTTTCAATCCAAAATTCATAACTCCGTCGAAATTTACCCCCCTCAAAAATTCAAAATCCCGTGAAAATGAGCCTCCCCTCAAAAATTGTGATGGAGCAACTTGCACCATGAAACCCTTTTGAGGGCACCCCTGCAATAATGAAAGAATTTGTACTGATCGAAGGAGCAAAGTGGGTTCTATTTATTTTTTTTAAGGAGAAACGAAGTTAAGATTTGTATTTTGCATCCAAAAAAACAATTAAATACGAATTTCCATAGCAATCGAAAAATAAAAATTGAATATTCAAATTGTTTGGAAGAACAGTAATTCCAACTGTACTAATAAGATTGAATTCGGAAAAATTGTAAGGAGTTATGAATGCTTTATCAAATGGCGCGGAAATAAATTCATCATTAAAATCATGTCAATACATTTATATATATATATATATATATTCAATATAAATGCGTATTTAAGAGTTTCAAAGGATGCAAGAAACTAATTTAAATCGCTTTTCCATGACGAAAATTTACTTGGCTAATAAATTGTTTTTCTTATTTTAAACAAGAAAAAACCAATCGATTGACATATTATAAACTGGTAGTCTCTACAGATCAAAGGCAGGAAACAATAATATAAAACAAATTTAATGTCATTTATCTTTTTTTTTTCTTGGCTCCAACGGTACATTTACAACAGGGTTCTTCTGGGCACGGGTTTAATATTTTTCAACATAGTAACACTAAAAAAAAAAATCATTGGAATAGGTGAACCCCTATCTAACTATTGTTGGATCCCCGATTTAAGCTTCAACAACAATAACAAATATTGTGAAATATTCCAAAATAAGTATTTTTTTAAACATAGTACACTTATAAAATCAGTCGTTTCCATTGTTTCATATAATTCTATCGAATTCTTAATTAAGTGAGAAGGAATAAACTTTCCTAGACGACAATGGATAAATTATATCCCTACTAGAGACCCTATAGTTCTCAGGAAACAGGGACAAATTATTTTCTTCGATATCACAATATCTCTACATAATTCAAAAAACTTAGAGATTAAATTTCAATTCGGCCCACAGCTGAAATAATTAATATATTCCATAGCATCCCTTGTGAGTTCTCTGATCCCAGATCGCTCTGGTTATGGTGCGGAGGACTTTTCTCTCAAATCATTTTTATTCTTCTTTCTGAGGTGTCCTTTAATGTCAGGCCTCGCAAAATTACATCAGATCTAGCTTTATCGTAGCATTATACACTTTGAATTTAAGATTTCTGGAGTTTTTTTTTTTTCGGAACTTGAGTATCTTTTTTAGATGATAGAATGCTCTGTTTGCACTTGTTATACGCTCGTCTATTTCTGACCCTTGATCATTTATTGAGGTTATCGTGTAGCGGGAACTATTTGAGTCTGCTCCGTCTCGAGAATGATTTTGCATTAAAGCAGATCTTTTCTTATGGGTGGATTTTACGGCTTAATATCACATACTGCTTAATGATATCTTTATCATACTCAAATATTTGTAATTATAGTTGCACTTTATATATATATATTGTTGATTTAAGGATTTTTTTTTTCTTCCCTTAACTTTAAATTGCAATAATTTTTCTGTTATCTTGCTCAAATATTCATTTTAATTTTCTAAAATAAATGATCGCTTTATGCATTAACAATAATAAATTTATTTATTTATACTAGTAGGCCCGTGCCAAAAATTCGCACAGTATATTGTTATCAAATGCTAAATTAATAAGAAAATAAAATAGTACAAAGTATCAAAAGATAAAGGAATCAATTCTTACATCATCGACAAATATAATCGACAAAGGAAACAAAATTAATTTAAATCATCATTTTTGTTTGGAACCAATATATTTATTTATAAATTTCAATAAGCTGTATCTTTGCGAAAAATTGTCCGATTTCAATGATTTTTTTTCCTTTTGTAGACAATTTAGTAATGTTTTATATAATCATGGAATAACGAAGGAAAAGTGTGTAATTTTTTTAGTTATTCGCAAATAAAGTTTTCTTTTCTTTCATAACTTGTTTGCCTGAATTTTCGGGGTGATTGGACTATTTTTCCCGCCTGAAGGAGAAGGAAGCCTTCGAAATTGGTGGCTCAATCTTGAGATTTGGTGAAGACTTAACGATGATATGGCTTGCTGATCAAAAACACCATCGATAAATAATATAAACTCCTGTCTCGACCATAGAGACCTCAAGTCGACGAAATGAGAGATGTATCCAATGACAGTACTACAATTAACGTCAGGTTGTGTGGATGCGAACCCCATGCCTTGCGTTATCTAGAAAATAGTACGTTTTTGGGCTTAAAAACGCAGGATCCGATGGAAATCAAAAGTGGAGAATACGATTCGCTAACCCCCCGTGAAATTCTGAATCCAACGGTACCCCATTCGTGGTATTTGAGCATGACAGGAGCTTATATTTGGTACAAAATCGATTTCGAGCCTTACTGTAATAATATATGTACGGATTTTACTTTTAAAAGAATTATTAAATAGTATATGAATTCTGCTTTAGG